CTATTGCTTTATTAAATTTATTTTTAAAGTGACATTTGTTACGATTAAATTATAATAATATATAACTGTAAATTAATATGAGTGAGTAAACGTACCTTCTCCCTAAAATTGAAAAGATATTATTATTATTGTGTATAAAATAATATTATTCATTTTTCATGACAATTATTCTATGTGTAATGTAAAATAGACGAATATAAATTTTAAATTGTAATGAAATAACTCGATTTATATAAATTTAAAAATATAATGTTATCCCTAAAATTACTAGGAGTAGGACAATCAAATATTATTATTAGAAAAAAAATATATTTTTGGGGATGGAAAATATTCAAAATATATTCCAATGTACTATAATATAATAAATATAATATATAAAATTATATTTTTTTTATTATTAAATTAACCCAAAATTCTGTCGTATTTTATAAAATGTACAACTAATCAAAAATAAAACACAAAGGTCAAATTTAATTGATCATGAAAATACGCAAAAACAATATAAAATATATGTAATATATATACCGCCAAATTTTATAAAATCGGCGCATGCCTTACTTATTTATTACATATTAATATATATATATTATCTAAATAAACTAGAAAATGATTTTTTTTTAAAAAAATATATTTATCTGACCTCACTTTTGCCATTTGTCTTTCTTTAAGTTCACTTATAATGATTTGTAATATATATGTATTATAGTAAAATATACTATTCTAATATATCATTTGGCATATATTATTTACCGTTAACAAGATGTGAAATTAAGTTCAATTTTGTTAATAAATACAACTAAATTTTCAGGTTCATCATTCCTTATGTCTTTTAAGAATTATATATACTATAATTATAGTTAAATTAAAATTCTACTTTCGATTAATTTTAAAAGAAAAAATAATTAGTGGGAGATTAAAAATTTTATTTTATATAAAAATAAGGAGTGATATTAAGCATAAATAAATCAATATTATATAAAGTGTATTGAACATGTCATATATCAAAGATTATTATATAATCTTATATAACTATAATATTTTAATAGCTGATTAAGAATGAGAATTTTGTGAAAATAATACTATAAACTTGTCAAAGTATTGAACTTTTCTTAATCAATAAATTTACATTATTATTCTAATAGATAAGAGGATAGAGCAGTGGCGAAAAAAAGTGAAGGGGGTGGGGATGAAACTTTTCCCTTGGGAGTATTATAGGGTTAAATGTTGTGCTTCATAATGTTTAATTCATTTTTAATATCCAAGTATAAAACTCTTTCCTTATAAATATGGAATTTCTTTTTCAATTATCTATAAAAAAAATTGGAAAGTTTCCAAAAGCCATCATATAATTTGAATGGGACACGCCCCAGCCTATAACTTCATGACACTTCCTGTATAAAAGAAAAATGTTTAGTATTTTCTATTTCAATATATATCACTGTGATCACTTAGTATATTTACTAATATTACCATAAACAATCGTTCACAAGCTTGAGAGTAATTACTAAGGCTTAGCTTAGCCACCTGGAAAATTTTTCATTTTTCGTAAATTTTAAGATAATAAAAAATATTTAAATTTTTTAAAATAAATTTATTAAATAATGACTAACTTCGGTTTAAAGTTTGAATTTCAAATTAAAAGTTTGTTTTATTCGATTTATGACTATGAGATGAGCGTTCCTCGTTATGATTGGCCAATAAATTTATACAAGTTTTGATTTTGATTACAACAAAAAAACTTATTCCGGTGTAAAATATAAATGACTTCTCTAGTTTTCAATAAATATTTTTAAACTATCGCGATTTTTAATTTTGTCATATATTCTTTTTTCAAAGAACTTGCATATATATTTCCGTTTCATTTTTTTTATTAATTAACTTTTTATTTTTTAAAATATTTCTTTTTTTCTACACATGGGTTTAATTTTGTAAAAAAAATTCTCTTACATACACGCATGAAGAAGAATAATAATATAGCCAAATTTTTTTTTTATATTATACAAATACAACATATATTTATTATTTTTATAAACTGGTTGAACTTGAAGCCTCTCCCGTAAATTCGAAATTTTCTAAAATTTTGTCAAATTATGAATTGGAAGAGGCATTTTATTTAAATTTTTTTATATTGGAAATGGTTAAAAGTTAACAGGGTTATATTATATAATTTGAATTGCATATGCTAAATAGACAAAAATATGAATGAAAAGGAACTTTAATCTGTTTAACAAATGTTTTAGTTTATTAGTCAGTATATTAATATTAAATATAAAAATATATAAATTTTTTTTATATATTTATAACATCTTTGAAGTCTACTATGATTAAAATATGTCTTTTTTCTTCAAATTCTACACTTTAGCATTGTCTGTAGAACAGTGTAGCTTTGTTAATCCAAAGTCATTACCCCTTCCCCCACCAGCCGCTTATGGCATTCTGATTCCTAAAATATAAAAATATTTAATTATAATGGATATTGACTTTGGGTTGTTGACTATGAGAGACACCCCCCCCCCCCATCCCCATCCTTCCTGAGATTTCAATAAGGCTATTGTATCATTCGTTCCTCGTTTTCACGTTAGAAGGCTTTGGGCTATGAAACTGTATATAGATCAACGAGGCAAATAATACTTCCTAGAGTGACTATTCATTTATTTATATGTGAATGGATGCTTACATGTCATTTTAGTATTGATAATAATAAATAATAAAATTGAATTTTTTATGAAAACTTGAAAAATTTTTTTTTAGAGTATTCTCATAAATATTTGACTTACCATATAAATGGTAATTTTCCATAAAATTTTAGAAACAAATGGCGCGCAACCAACTGATTTATATTGTTTGTTACCCATTTAAATGAATGAAATCGTCGGTTGAGTGAGTTTTGTTAAGTAAAGGAGATTTTTTTACCTCTTCGGTGTTCTGGCTATGCTTATTTTTGATATTTATTTCTGTTTAATCTAGGCCAAATAACTCTTAAATTAGGGCATCTTATTTTGGTTTGTTCTAAGTATTTGGTGGCCATATTTTTCATATTTTTTTTCTACTTTTCTTTTCTTTTCATTTCATTTCATTTTCTTTTGTTTTTTTTTCTTTTCTTTTTTTTTGTTTTATTTCGATTTTTTTTTTACATTCTTCTTCTTTAGGCTGTTTAGGTGAAGCTATATATAGAAGCTAAACCACTTATACATTTTTTTAAAGAAACCAATTTATAAAATTTATTATAAATATTTTATTAGTTTATATATATAAAATTATTATTTTGTTGTAAATTATTAATTTTCAAAGAAAAATTTAAATTACGATTCCCCAAAGAGCTGCAATTCATTCACCAGCTGTTTTTAACCAATTTTTTCTTATAAATATTTAATTTAATATTTATTTATTTTTTGTAAAAATGATATTATAAAATATTAAGAAATTTGGAAAAAATCTAATTATTCAAATTCTTTTATTTGTATAAACTCTATTTCTATAAATAAGTGTATATAACCTGATCAGTACGAATATTTGCCTTTATTCAATCGCGATAATATCTTATAAAATTGTTTGAATTTTATAGGATAGGTATTCTACACGTTACCGGAATAGATTTATTTCATGGAAAAATTAGACTAATTAAATTGTAAAAAATCACTAAATATCATGATTTAGTTGGTAATTATCGCAATCATTTCTTTAAAACGTTTTTATTACATTTTAATAATCCGACTTCCAAAAATTTATTACAGTATTCGTAAAATATACATCAATTTCAGATAATTTGATCAATCATGAACATTTGTATTATTTTTATTTTATATATAGCAATACCTGCATAGGCTGATTAAAAGATTTGGCGGTAAAATGTAGATGAGTGGACATTACGGTTTACTGGCTACACCCTCTAATTTTTTATCTTGAATTGTTCTGTTTAAAATTTTACCAAAATATGAATATTTATGTCAGGTATCCGCATTCTACATTTTATTTTGGTCTAATCCTTGTCGATCTTTTTTTAAATGTTTATTTTCTCACACCTTATGAAATAAAAAATCTAAAAAAATTTACTTCTTAAGCCTCCTCTCCAGAATCAGAGATGTGAGTCATCAAAGTGACCGAAGTTTGGATGCATTTAAAAATCTAATATTTATTAAAATTTAGTTAGTTTATGAATCGTCTACATTGTCCACATTATAAGAGCTGCTTTCGTTTTAAATTTTTATTACAAAATTTTGATTTAAATATTTATAATTTTTGTTATTTTTTTTATTCAAGTTAGTTTTATTTTCCTTTCTTTTTTTCCTTATTTTGATTTGGATTTGCGAGTTTTGATAAATTGTGGTATTACACGCGTGGCCCGCCACCCGACTTTATATAATCTAAACTTTTCTCCTTTGATTTAATGTTTTTAAAGGTTCGATCTTTTAAAAAGGCTAACCCAATCTTTTAGCCAAAATATATTACGCAAGCCTAGAGATTTCGATAATAGATATTCAAACTTTTCTACCTTCTATGAGCAAAATCTTTAGGCTCGCATAATATTTTTGACTAAAATATTGGGTTAGTCCTCTACCAACACTAATTACTCAAAGAAGAATGTGGCACTGACTTATTCATTTTATCATTTATATATTTTTTTTTTAAATAAAATTTAAACATTTGTGATAGACATTTTTGTTAAAAGAAGAAGAAAAAAAATTATATTTTATTATGATTTTACCAAAAAATCTAAAATGCCAATCAAATATTTTATTTTATTTTATTTTTTTTATATTTTTTTTATATTTATTTTATATTTTATATTTATAATATTGTCTTTTAATCAAAAAATAAAATAACGGAATATTTTAAAACTTTTTTTGTTAATAAAAATAAATAAAAATTGATTAATTTTGAACGATTTAACAAAATAATTATATTTGTCATTTATTTAAAAAAATTAACTTAAAGTAAAAAGCTTTTAGCCAAATTAATTTTTTTTAACAAATATTAAGTTAAATATAATATTTATATATAACAAATTGGTAACATTAAATAGAAAAATATCAGTAAAAAATAATTATATTAATATAATGATCTTCAATTATAATGGATAATTTTCTAAATAGAAAAAAAACGACGAAAATATCAACTTTCTAAAACACTATTAACTCCCAATTGCAAGCAATTTTATATTTTCACCTCATATAATGTAATATAAATTAAAAAATTTATTTATTTTTTCCTTTTAATATTAATATATAGATATATTAATAAAATATTGTACCGTTTTTCTTATTTATCATATATAAAACACAAAAAATTTTGTAAATTATTCTATTCAAATTACAAACCAATTTTTTACCGGGAGAAAACCAGGCCACTCTTTTAATGACAGAAATATTGCAGAAACATTTTACAGGTAAAAAAAAATTATACCAAATTATTAATAGAAAAGGAATTAACTTTTATTTAATAAAAAATTCATAATTGTTTTTTTTTGTAGTTATTTTAAACAACCTATTATTGTTTCATAAGTTTTTTTTAAAAATGTTTTAAGCAATTAAGGAGAAAATTATTAATATATGGCTAATTATAAAGTATAACTATCTATTTTACAGTTTTTTGGTTATAATCATTCGAAATAAATAATATTTATTATCACTCCATAAATAAATTGTTATTTTAAAAAAAAAAATTCTAAAATGTGTCGAAATTATAATAAAATAATGCTAATGCAATCACATCACATCATAACATATATTATATATTTAGTTTTCTGGTTAATGTTTAAATTTTAATCTAATTTAATTTATTATATATATAGAAAAAAAACACTTAGCGCCAAAAATCACTTAATATAATTAACAATACCAAATTTTGGGAAAAATTAAAAAAAAAAAAATTGATTTTGAAAAGTAATTATATTTTACTAATTCCACTCAAAAATTAATAATATTATACAAATCTTTTAAATTTCTTTATATCATTTTTTTATCACATATTTTTCTTAGAAGCTTTAATTTTTAAATAAATAATTTTAAAAATCTAAAATAATTTTTATAAGAAAATATAAACCCATCATCGCCAATATGTACCGGTTGCGGATGCGAAATAAGGGATCCTTTTATACTGAGGGTGTCGCCAAACTTAGAATGGCACGCTTCCTGTTTGAAATGTATGTATTGCGACAAATACCTGGATGAGACTTGCACCTGCTACTTTAAAAACGGGAAGGCCTATTGCAAGAGAGATTACTTAAAGTTTTTATATTATATATTTTATATATATATATATATATCTTTTTTATTTATACTTAACATATCAACCTCTTTATAATCAAATGAAGTATAGATGTATGATACAGATATATATCGTCGTATGAGATACAAAATGAATGTATGTCGGAATTTCTTAATTTTGAAATCACTTATGCTGAAGGAAATTTAAATTTAAAAAAATTCTGATTTTATTGGAAAAGTGGGTGCAAGGGCATACCTATATTTTCAGACAATTTTCACTATAAACTTTCATATATATTTTTTTAATTGAATGAAAAATGTACATAAAAATTAATATAAATTAGGACTAATTCAAAATAAGGTTCATAGGAAATATGTCTGAAATTCACAGTGGTACACACGGAATTATATTTTCCTGATGAAAACTCTTATTCTTTTTTGAAGGGGGGGTGGAGGTGGTGATGTATTATTCCCCTCTTGGCTACCAGTAAGTAATGAGTGGTCGCTCCATTTTTAGCCGTTTTAGTGATTTTTAACCAGCCGAAAACTATTGCTTCAGCTTACGTTTTTATTTAAACAATTAGGCAACTTTTTGAGAAAGCTTAAAATAAACAAGCGCCCTTAATACTTAGACAATTCTTTCCACGTCCGTAGATTGAGCCATGTTAGCCAATTACCTAACAAATATAAGTGGGTAAAATATAGAGACACGTGATCCTAATCATCTTCACATAGACTAACCTTACTCCACATTCGCCCCATGAAAATAATGATACCCATCCTGCCCCTTCATTTTAGTTAGTTGTAACTTTTTAAAGCCCTTTAGACCCACCCCCTTCCAAAGCTAGTAACGTTGAGGTTTCCATATTACTACGATATAAAATGAATACTGACTATGTGTGTTGGCAAACCCCTCCTCCATAACAGAGATATGAATGAGACTAATGAGTCTTGACTTTAACCATGTTAAGCCCTGTGTAGCCTAAAAATTTTACTTATATATTATATTAATATCTTATTATTGACTATTTTAAAGTCTCTACGGAATAAAATGTTCGAGTTGTGGTATGCCACTCTCACGAACGGATCTAGTTATGAAGGCCAAAAATTTGATCTACCACACGAGGTGTTTTCAATGCTACGATTGCCGAAAAACTTTATTACCGGGGGAAGAGTTTGTCGTAAAAACACCAGAAAATGTTTTATTTTGCCGTAAACATGTTGATATGTCCTCTTATAGCGGTATGTTGAGCGTCCTAAAATTTAAAGACGAAATTTCGCCAATATATAACGGTCAACATAACGCGTACAACAACAATAATAAGCAGCATATCGTCGATAATGTCAGTACCTATATGTCACCCGAGGATGATAAAAATTCAATAAATAACGGTGCGAAATCGCTTCTCGATAATAAAGATTTTACGATGGAAGAAAATTCAGAAATATCATTAACCAATCTTATAAATACAAATAATAATATCACCGCAAAAGACCATTTAACATCAATTCATAACATAAATTCTACTACCCTGTATTATACCGAATTGGGCAAAACCATAAACCCTAAACCTAATTCTTTTCCCATATTTCGGGAAGATATCACCGATTCTAGGAAAAGAAATAAATCATTGGACGATGGAGGTACATTTCTTTTAACATCCAAATTCATATTATAAGGCGTGACATAATATTTTTTAAAAAATATAATTAAATATAATTCATTATCATCTTCAGCTAAGATTTAATGAATATATGGGTGATTAGATCTGTATGAGTACAAAAAGTTTATTCACTATTATAATTTGGGTTCTTAGTTTGATGTGATATTTTGTAATCTTACTTTTGTTTTAGTAGGTTTTTTGTAAAAAAAATTTCTTATATGATGTTTAATACTTTTTCTAAAATAAATTTCGGGAATGTATGGCCGATATAAGGGGTAGGATTGAGCTTATACATGGAGCTGCTATGTGAGAATTAAATATTTTTCCCTATAAGAATTATATAAGGGAGACTGGGGCTAATTGAAGCGCGGAGTGTTTCAAACCATTTGATCCCATTTTTAAGTTGAAGTACTAGGATATTTTAATTTTTAGACTTAAGTAATATGCATCTATACATACACTATAATTATTTTGAAATAATTAAATGTTAAAATTTATATTATATGTATAAGATATAAAATCTTGATGTTAAACTTGGAAAAATGTTTGCCAGGCAATATTTTAATTTATAATAAATTAAAAAAAATATTTATATAGCAAATTTTGAACCCTATTTTATAATTTGAGAAAGTTTACGAACATTCATGGAGTCTATACATATTATTTTAGTCGTGATTGGTTAAGCTAGCGCAAATGGTGCTTACGAAATCATGGTATTTTGAACCACTAATGTATCATTTAATGTTTTCCAATGCAAATTTTTTTTAGTAGAATATGTAATATTTAGTTATATACATTTTTGGCATTTAATAAGCAGTCCTTAGATTTTCGTATATACTTAGATGAGCCAACGCTCCATTTCTTTTTTTTATCATTAATTCCTTTTTTTAAAAAAATCTCTATATAAGGAATATTTTGGCTATTGTCATATCTATTTCTGTATATTTCAATAATAAAAATTCCAATTTTAAAATAAATTTTAAAAAACATCTCTATCTTTGTTCAGACTATCCAAAATTCAAAAAGCGATGAGATTCAAAATATATTTAAATATAAAGCAGACCTGTAGGGGGAGCATACGTTTCGAATTCAATAATACAGTTCCCATAATCAATCCCGGACCGGATTTTAAAAGAAATCGGTCCGGTGCAATCGGGTTTTACATTTTAAAGCTCGGTTCACATTTTTAAGAAACATATCTTCGGCTGAGTATTATAAAGTTCTATATCCAATTTTTAAAATTGTTCAGGAACTGAAGAATTCATTTATAAAAAAAACATTTTACAAAAAAGGTGGATATAGAACATTATAATACTTAGCTGACGATATATTCCGCGGTTCCTCCTTAAAATTTTATAAGTAAAACATAATGTCCCACATATTTTATAAATGACATTTCAATTGTAGATCGAAAATATGAAACGAATGAATGTTAAATATTCCACTTATTAAGATTTTGATTATTACTGATATGTTTGATATTTATTTTAAAAGCTTCGACCCTGTCCGGTTTTAAAAAGCCTGGCCCGATTATACAATTATAACGGTCTGTTTCGGGTTGAGCTAAGCGGGAACTTGGTCTAACCTGCAGGGATCTGATATAGTGTATAAGTGAAGATAACTTTAATATCACGAATGTTTACATTCTTGGATTCTAAATTGCTACTTAAATTTTTTAAAAATATTTAGTCGATTATATTTAATAATTGGAAGCTTATTACAAAATCTCGCCCTGGAAAAAAACTAGAATTCTGAACTTCTAATTTTTTGAAGATTCTTGTAGCCTCTGAATTCCCAAAAAAACTATCTGGGGCCTCGAGCAATATGGAGACGATGGGGGTGTCAGATTAGTCATTTTTATATATGCTTATTTAATAAACTGTAATTTTAAAAAGTATTAATATTATGGATAAATATACTTCAAATTTTCGTAATTCATTTATTACAAATTATTTTTATTTTACTATAAATCCCTACTTCATATTCTAAACTGCTGTTTCCTCTCATCCCATTTTAAAAATAGTAAGCCTAATATTGTTAGCATATTATAAAAGATTATACGGAAAGATATATAAACGAATATGCTATTTTATTTTTAAAGTATATCCCGTTACCTAAATCCTTTCCTAAACAAAATGTTCTAGTTATGGACCTACGGTGGTGCATTTATTTTATCATAATTTAAAAGGTAAATTTTAAAATTCGACTAAATAAAAAAATCCTAATAAATCTCTTGACATTTTTAATTTTATTTTTTTTTGACTAGATGAAATTATCTCTTCTTCCAGTTTTAATGAAACCGATTTCATTTTCAATTCCAACGCATCGGACTTTCCCGAGCCACATTCTTTCAAACAAATCAATAATCAAATTAATTCGTTGCCTCAAGTCACCAATTTTGAAATGCTGGTAGGAACAGCCGTGGACCAGCCTCAATTGACCCAAATAATTTCTGATGGAAGTTGTCAAACGGCTACTATTAGGAGTTCCCTAGATGTTGTAAGCAATGTTAACGGGGATGAAGAACCACTCTCCCTTCAACAAGCCTCCATAGTTCACACTAGTGAAGACGACTTGCTATACTTGGAGGATAATGATGATACCTACAATTCGGACGATGAAAATGATGAAATCGACGATTTGGACGGTGAGGGAGACATCGAAGATGTCGATTTAGCTAATAATGATGACTTAAAATATAGCCATAATACCAAAACCCGCAACAGATTAAACAACTTAAACGGTAGCAATAATTCTATAGGTCGACACCAGCATCACGGATCTAACAATTCTTGTCACATGCACCATTTTCATTCGGGACCCCATCCCCACTTACCGAGGCATCATCACCTGAACCACCACACCCATAATCGTATTAACTCCAACATGGGCCTAAATCATCATCAAAGTCACAATCACAATAGCAATAATAACGATAAAGTCACGAGGGTGAGAACGGTCTTGAATGAGAAGCAATTACACACGCTCAGAACTTGTTATAATGCCAACCCCAGACCGGACGCCCTGATGAAAGAACAGCTGGTAGAGATGACGGGCTTGAGTCCAAGGGTCATAAGGGTTTGGTTCCAGAATAAACGCTGCAAGGATAAGAAAAGGCAAATTCTCATGAAACAAATCAGCCAGGCCCAGGAAAAGGTAAACTATAACGCATTATTAAATGATTAACAATTAAAACGAATTCACAACTGCAAATTTCTACATTATATTTCATATAGAGTGACTTCATTTATAAATCTTACAGAGCTTTCATGTCTATATACCATTAAAAAATATATAAATAAAATTTTTCTAATATTATAGTAGATGATTATATGATGAAATAAAAAAATGAATATTTCTTAAATATTTTATACACCTCTTCGAAATATTTTTTTTTTAACCCTAGAGAAAACGAAGACTTAATTGGGTTCAATCAGACTCGTAACCGAGAGGGGGGGGGAATTGCAAATATGTCTGTTCTCGTAAATTTTAAACCAATGAAAATTTGCCCCTACACTACTTTTCCCCTACTCTCCTAGCCCCCCCCCCCTCCTCAAAGAATTATTAATACATTATAGGGAAGAATTTTAAGGAAAAATTAGTAGAAAGTTAGTTATTTTTTAATATAACGACTTAATTAAAAAAATTTAAAAAAAAGGATTTTAATAAAAAAGTGAAAACCCAAGTATTTTTATAAAATCTAATATGGGTAAAGACCTAAAGTAAGTGAATCTAATGATTTCCAATAAAATTTATCTTCTAGCGTCTCACCCCATTCGCAAAATCCGATACGCCTATGGGCCTGATAAAATGTGTTTACTCATTATATCTAATTATTTTATGCGTTTTGAAGGATAGACCGAACGAACAGAGAATTATTTTAAAGACCTGAGTTATGCTCTAACTTTGTTTGCTCAAAACTTAGTGTTGTTAAACGGCTCGTTTTGAGCCGATTTTTAAAAACGGTTAACTCAATATTTTAGCCAGAAAAATATTGCTTAAGCCTCGAGATTTCGCTAATAGATGTCCAAACCTTTGTTCCTTCTACAAATAAAATATTCAAGGCTTGCCTAATACTATTCTGGATGAAATATTGAGTTAGCAGTTTCAAAAATCGGCTCAAAACTAGCCGTTTAACAACACTACTCAAACTCATGCATTTTATTTATTTATTGATTTTTTCTTAAAGAAAAAAAAGGAATTTATGAATTCTTTACCTTTAAATTCGTTATTGTAACACTCGTCCAAACTTAACATTTTCAAAATTAGCATATTTTATTCCCCCTATTATATGACATGCCCCCATGTAAGAGGAATGCCCTTTTATTCTTATATTTATTCATAAATTTATATTTATTACGTTTCAAATATTGGTTTAATTTTTATTTTCTCCCAATTTTTAAACGTGAAAATATTATATATTTTTTTTTTATCGGTAATATATTTCTAATTGCCTTTTTATTTCTTCTTCTAAAATAATATACCTAATACCTTAGAGAATAGGTAACCTGTTAATAAATAAGAAAGAAACGAAATTTGCATATTTTACCATAAAATTTGCATATTTTTTTTTATACGAACACCATTCTGGTTAATTTCAAGTTCAGATCAAACCCTTTTTCGGGAATAATAATAAGTTAAAGTGTCATTTAGGTGTGTAATATTTTTTTTTAAAAAATAAAAATATTTTATATAATACTCGTATACGATTGATTCTATACTCATTAATAATTAATTAACTTCTATAACATTTTATTAGATATGAGATGTAGGTTTGATAATAGATTTTAATGCGTTTTAAATAATTTCTCTCTTTTTAGTGGAGAATTTTTATTTTATTTTATTTTATAGGAGACCGAAGTGCCCGTTCCTATTTTAAATGAAATTTATTTTTTAGATAAACCCCACATTCGACCAAAAAAAAAAAATTTTATTTGAAAAATAAAAAAAAATGTAAATTTAAAACAAACTTTATATGTAGGCTTTAATAAAAAAATTTATTTTTAATTAATTTTTTGGTCCTAATCTCTGGAAATATTCAGATTTAAAGGGATAAAACGATCCCCGCCCTGCACATAACTTCTTAAATATATTTTTTGACTTGAGTTTGCCATCTCTCTGTAATTTTGTGATCCATTTTGTGATCCATTTTGTCAATCTCTTTTCAATTTTCCAAATTTTTTTTCTTCCCATTCTTGATTTTTCTTTTCTATTTTCGTAGCCCTTGTAGTCTTTAATTTTCCTTCTTTTTAAAAATAAAAAATTTCTTTATATACATTCTTTTATTATTTTTTTGCCATATTTATTCATTCCTTTTCTTATTCTCATCTCTAATTCCTTCCCACCATGCGAATTTGCCTCACATTTAACAATTTAACCCCCCCCCCCCCTAGCCCTCTCTCGCTCAAAAAAATACAATATATCACTTTAAATAAGAATTTCAAAGAAAAATTAGTAAAATTTAGTATTAAAATAACTATTATAATTCAAAATTTTAAGAGAATAATAAGATAAGTGAAAACTTAAAATTATTTTTATAAAAATATAATATAGCCAAAGGCCCTACAATAAGTGGACCTCTTAAGAAAATTGAGAAATTATGATGTAATTGATTAAAGAGATAAAATTAAAGAGAGATCGCAAAAAATTAGAAAAAAATGACATTTAAGGATTATTAAAAAAATATATATAAACGGGTTTCCCTTTTTGATTGAACGTTTACCTTTTTTTGTGAGACTTTTACTTTTTTTGATAGAACCTTTTTTATTTTTCATTGCACTTTCTTCTCTTTTGATTAACCCTTTCTCTTTTTTGATCTTTCCCTTTTTCATAAAGTATTCTGCTACTTTTAAATGGAAACCCTATATAAGAAGATAATCATGGGCAGGCCTATAAAATATTTCCGGACGGCCCTGTAGTAGGGTTTTTTTTCAAATGATACTTTTACAATTTTAAAATGATTACTTATTATGGCAATACAAAATATATACCATAAATCTAATTCAATTTTCGCTATATTCTCGCAGGGAATCTCGAATATGCACGGCATACCACTTATCGCTACTAGTCCGGTTCGCCATGAACATAACTCCTTCAGCAACAATTTTGTCGAGATCCAAAGTTATCAAACTCCTTGGAAAGCGCTAAACGATTTTGCCATACAAAATGACATGATTGAAAGTCAATCGTTCCAACCAGCGATTTGAAATTTTAAAATATATATATTAGTTTTAAATTAAGCGAGGCGGTTATATTATAATATATTTGCGGAATATTAAAGAGGCAATGATCAATAATATAATATTACCGAGGGTTGGAAATTTTGAAAGGCCATTTTCTTTTTCATTGATGAAAAATAATTATAATATATTATTATAAACCGCTAATGTTATATTTATTTAATTATTAATATTTAGTATTTTTTCTCCCCACCCAAGAAATGTTAATCATCATTGCATTAAATAATTTATTTATTTATATTATATTATATAAAATTAAATTAAATTAAATTGTATATTATATATATTTTATATTAAATTTTAAAGAAATATTTTAGTGTAATATAAAATAAAAAGACTGAAATTCGTTTAAATTTTGGTTTTATTCATTTTTTTTAAAAAAATCAATTAAATGGAACAAAATAATATCAACCAGGACCGAACTCCCCGGTTCCCTATTAGTTATGTATTCCATTTTAAAATTAGTTCTTATATTTAGTTTTCTTATTCTATTTTTCAAATGGTAATCGATAGTTCAGTTCGAGATGAAAATATATCTGGAAAATAAAGTTCGGGAAAATTTCCTAGGGATAATTGGGGAAAACGGGAAAAATAGAGAAAAAAATGAGGGAAGGGGAAAACGGAAGAATTAAAAAAAATATATAAAGGGAATAATTCTGACAAATTAATTTTTATGTTAAAAACATTCCATTTTACATCAATTGATACAACAATGTAAATTCATTCGATATCATAATCAATATCAATGGTTATAATTGAAGTATGGTATATCATTTTCACTTGATATAATAGAATTAACATCTAATCTAGCATTAAATTAATGAATCTAACTTATATATAAACCATGGCCTTATCTTAGGCTTATTAGGGGAAGCTTAGTTCTCCACCTCACAATCCTGTATTTGATTTGATTTAATTTTTAAATATTAATATAAGTATAATAAATAACCTTGTTCCTTGAGAAGTGAATATTTTTATTTCTAGATTAAAAGGTTACCACACACTGACATTGTATTTTGAAGTTAGAGAAAATTTTTAATGTTGTGAAATTTTTAGGAAAAAAATTATGCAATATTAATTTCGATTTTTCAAATTATAATAAGAAATGGGCAGTTACTTTAATCAAAATGGAAAGTATTTAAATTAAATTGGAAATAAAAATGATTTAGTAGGAATTATAAATTTGGTTTCTTTCCAGAAGTTACAAAACTTTTAAAAAATTTGAAAGATAGAAAAAATTCCGCATTCGCTGCTTTTTGCATCTCTAGTTCTGAAGCATGGAAAATAAGCGAGATATGGCGAACTCCTATTTTGTCACTCTTCTACTTAGTCATGCCACGAAGGAGATAGTTATTTTTCATTCTACTGACTAATCTAAACTTAAATAGTTTATATTCTTTAATAATATAAAACTTAAATTAAATGTATAGTAATAATCATTAATATAAATGAAAAAATATTTGTTTTTTATAAATGTATATTTTATTTAATAAAGGTAAAACGTTTAAAAATCAAATATTTTCAGATATTTTATATGATGTATTAAATATTTAATAATCTTGATCTTTCAAAAATAAAATTTTGATAATATTTTTTTAATATATATTAATCACATGCTTTAATAAATTTTTGTTAATAACGAAATTATTACATTTATTAATATAATATTTTTTTGATTAATAAAAAATTTTTTCACAGAACATATTCTTATTTTAATATTAATTATAATTCAAAATATATATCTTTAACCCTTATAGGGTAGTAATGGGATTTATAACCTTATTATGCCTCAATGAAACTGGACACAAGTAATCCCATGTCTTCCTATCTTTGATTTTTGGAATATATTTTCAGGAAAAGATGTGATTTGGATTTATCAATTAATATTTTTTCCAGAGCTTTGACTTAGAAATTTGAAATTAATTATTGAAGAAATTTTTTCAAAAAATTTAATAGTGACCGATTTTCTAAAAATAGATCTGAACCCGCCCCAGTCTTAAAATACCCCAGGTTCCTATTTAATTTTTGTTTTGCGGTTAATTCAACAAAATAATTTTAGTTTGAATCTTTAATTGGGTTCAGAACTCTACTTTTTTTAAACAAAATAAATAAACTACAAATAGTCTTTTCATGTCTAATCGAATTATAGTGATATGAGATGAATTTGTCATAAGAAATAAACAATAATCTTATTGAAATACCGATCAAAATTTGTGCAAATATATCTAGATATCAATACAGCTCTATATGACCCTAAATGTCATCTAGATTCCCTCCTGAAAACACGTACCTATATATAAAATTATTTTCACGCTACTTCGATTCATTTTTGTTTCCCGAATAATAGTGTCAAAATTAGGAATCCATTATTAATTCTCAGTTTTTGTGGAAGTGTACTAAAAAAAATTAATGCCGCAATTATCTGAAATTCACAGAGTATTTATATTTTACACATGCTGGAATATATTTCAGGTTAAGATCAGATTTATTCGAATTCAAAAAAAAATAACCCTAAATCTCTTAAAGAGACACTAATCTCAAGCGAGAATTCTAGATAAGTCATGAGATCTTCCAAGAAAACCCGACCACACTAATCAATTCTTAAATCTAGCCCCCAGTTGTAACTTTATTGATTATATTCACATTTAATACAATGAAATAATTCCATCTTATATAGCTTATCTACAATTAATTACAAACTGTCTAAGTATAAGGTTAGCAATGTGCTGCTTCTATTTGTAATAAATTCAAGAGTCTCATATAAATCTTGTCATCTTCCTTCTGAAACATATTAATGGTATAATATAAGTGTGCGAGATTGATATAATATGACGTGAAAACAGATCTCGTAACCAAAAAATAGGGTATAGGGGATATCGTGGAAGCGAAGGAGGGGGGGGGGTTTAAGTTAGCATATTTAGTATATTTATGCTAAAATTATTTATCAGCATATAAGACTAATAATCTAAGCTAAATATTGTTATTTTAGCATATTAATTAAGGAAATAAATAAATTGTTGTAAATAGCTATTTATGTAAGAGCCCTACTTTTTGACTCTAACTTTAAATCGCTTTCAATGTCTAAAGAGTAGGAAATAAAATTATCACTTTTAATGTTTAATATTGCAAGGTGTTAAGGAAATATATCGGAATCATTGAATATTATTATTATATATAACGCGAAACGGGGGGGGGGGGTGCATAAATTTTCTATGGGAGATGTTTTATGGCCTTGTGTGCAGGTAATGGGAATATTTTTTAAACTACAAATGTGAGGAGAGAGACCGAGTTCGAAGGGTATCCAAAAACTAAAATTTTTTTAAATCGCCATTATTACCTATAAAAATTTTTAAAAAAAATACAGATCAAAAATATATAACCAGAGCTGGGTCCTAAAAAATGAGTCTTGTATACACTATATAATGATAACTATGGCTTACACATTTACAAACTTCTTATTTAAAAAGTAATTAATCCAATTAATTCAATGTTTTAATATTAAAAAATTTATATATATTCTATATATTTTTTTAAAAAGATTATTTTGGTTGGTATATATTAGCAATTGGTAAGTTTGCCCCATCTCTCAATACGATTATGGTATTTTTATTGCCTTTTGAATAAAATAAAATACATTATTCAAGATTATGTTTTATGGCTCTTATGGCTTGCTTAAAAAACATTAATATTTAAATTTTGAAGAAAAAAAAGGAAGATAGATGATTTATAACCACTGATGCAAAGCAACCGAAGAGCTATTTAAAAAAAACACAAATTCGGAAAATTAAAAATATGCATAAGTATAGTTAGAATATTATACCACAAATGCTTTAAAAAAAATTCTGCCAAAAAAAAAGAAAAATACATGATATTTAAAGAGTAAATTTGAAGAGGGGTATTGGTATTCTTTTAATCAATCTTTCAAAAATGCTAAAAAAACAAAATTGGAAAGCGATTGTTAGTATAAATAACAATATTTAAAAAACAGTTGTCCAATTTTTGTAAAGAATTTGAAGTATATAAGGAGAGGAGGGTGTATAGTCCTGCAAGTACCGATCTAAATTTGATTTTTGATCCAGCTGATATCCAGTCTGTCGAATTCGGACGGATATCTTCTCGGACAGAGCAGGATTCTAGCTCTGTTTTTTAAATTTATTTTAGACCGAACCCAGAAATCGGATCGGACTTGGGCCATTGAAAAAAAATGGATTAGGTTGGTCGAACCTGAAAAAATAGGAACTGCTGGTCAATATATTTTTTCATAAAAATGGAAAGGCTCTCTATAACCCCGTGTTCTACACCTTGTATTTTTTACGTTAGAGTGATAAATGAATCTCGCGATTAGTCTAAATAAATTTTGGGGAATTAAATTTCAATTTTTCTAATATATTTTTTTTTTTGGAATTAAGTAAACAACATCATTTTAAATGATATATAATTATAAATATAAAACATAATTTTTTATTTATTATCATTAAATATAAGTGTAAGAGAATTATATATATTTTACTATATGTATGTAGTATATTTAGCTAAGGATATGTAAAAAACAGGTTCGTACATATAATTTAATATATATATTCACTATTTGGAACAGTCTAAACCTGGTGAGTATACCTGAATCTATCATCCTACAATATAAAAGCAAGTTTTTTTTTCACAAGACTAATTAAACCACATCTTATAATGAAAAAATATGAATCCAATCTATTTAGTGCATAAATTTATTATTAATTTTCTGTTTAAGTTTTATTTTAAACGTTTTTTTTTATTATACCTGGTAATAACCAAATATCCATCAAATAAACATAAGCGGGTTTTTTGTAACAAGATTAATTAAACACCCCCAAAAATGATAAATTATATTTTTCTCATATCCATCTCAACCTAATTTTTTTTTTAAAATGTAAATTCCAGGAGTCAATTTAATACACTTTAAATGCATGCTTCATATCAAACATATTTCGTTTACAAATCCCAAAATTACATAAGAAAATAAGTCAATTTTGCAATATATTTATTTTATTTCACCAATAAAATTGTGTTCTTGATTCGATTCTAATCGAGATATATATAAAATATACATTAAAACTAAACCCAAATTTTTCTCCTATATAATGAAGAGGATATAATTAATTTTTTATGTTTTTAAGACGATATATTCCCACGATTATAGGACCAAAATGATTACGAAAAATATATTAATAT